ATAGCGAGAAAGAGAAGGTTGAAAGGAGGAAGAGCACTGAGCACCCGAAACGGGCGGCGGGGTAATGGGGTGGCGAGGAAGAGGGAAGGGATCGCTTAAAGGGAAGGAGGGTGAGATCGTGGGGCGGGAGGCTGTGCACTGAACATCGAAACTAATGTAACGGACAAAGGGCTCCGTCGGCAGAGCTTTGTCGTTGCTTTGTGCGTGTTCACTTTATATACATCCTTTGCCCCTAAGCCTACCCCCTTCCCTACAATTCGCCGCACTCAGTCACCTCCACTTTGAGCCGTTTCACGTCCGTGTTCTCCACCTTGCGGACTGTGAGCATGGAGGCCGGGTCCAAGACCTTGCCGAAGACCACGTGCTTTCCGTCCAGCCACTCGCACTTGTCGCAGGTGATGAAAAACTGGCAGCCGTTCGTGTTGGGCCCGCTGTTCGCCATGGAGAGCAGGCCGGGCCCCGTGTGCCGCAGATCGAAGTTTTCGTCCGCGAATTTATCTCCGTAGATGGATTTGAGACCCGAGCCATCGCCTTTCATGAAATCTCCGCCCTGGGAGGGGCCGTGAAGGGGAGGAAGAGGGAGAAACGGGTGAGGGAGGGCCTGGGAGGCCGCCGAACAGACAGGTGGATAGGACGGGATCAACGTATCACCTTCGGACTGATGCGTCTGACACATTTTCAATCGTTTTTCCAAGCACGGGACTCCGAAATGTTTGCATGCGTCACATGGCAGTGACTCGACAGTGGCGCCCGCGATAGGTCTCTCGGTTCGTCGATCCTTGCTCCAAACTGTGCGTACCTGAATCATAAAGTCTTTGATCACGCGGTGGAAAGGCGATCCTTTGTAGCCTAATGGCAATCCGCTCTCACGATACTCCCCTGTGCAGAACTGTCTGAAGTTTTCTACCGTCTTGGGAACTACGTCTTTGAAAAGTTCCATTTTGATACGTCCGGCAGGGCGGTTGGCGATGGAGACGTCCAAGAAAACAACAGGATTGCCCCGGTTGACTGCCTCGAGAACGGCAGAGTCGGCCATGGTCGTGGTTTGGTCGCAATCCCTGGAGAATTCGCGGGAAATGTGCCCGTTCGAGAGCTAGCAACAGGGAGGTTAGTTAGAGGCGAGGAGCTTCAGACCCACAAAGCAAATTGAGTGCAGGAGAAGAAAGCATCCGATATGCAATGCCAGACCAAATGGTGAAAGTTATTACGCACAAAATCATCTCGATTTCCGAACCGATGGCAATAAACACGGCGTTGGCTGTATACGATAGGGAGGCAAAGGGCGGGCGGCCCAAAAAATGCAGCATGCCAAGATCTATAGCATGTCCCTCTTTGTCATGCACTCCAAATAGTACTACCAGATAGAGCATGTTGTAACTGCACGCGAGGTCTCGTAAGCGTGTCCCCGAGGTTCTCGATTCATTGAACGAGTAGAGTAGCCCTCTTGTGCGACGGCTGACATATCTCTATGGGGGCGAGATAAGCCCTCCTTGTAATGTTGCCCAGACACAGGCATTCAAGACACCATCTGCGTCATGCCGTTTGCGTTGTGATGTCGTCGATGCGACCATCAGGGATGCGTGGACAGTCTCTGTCTCTGTTCGGCTTGTATCAGGCAGGCGTGCCGGTGTTTTTTAAGTGACTCTCTGTCGCCAAATCGGCTTGAGGCTTCCGTCCCTTCTTTTTCCTTGCCAGTTAAAAGTCACGCAAACCTGGACTTCGCGATCCCTTCTGAGGCCCTACAGTAGAAGTCCATGCAGCACATGATCATTTGCTCACGCGTACGGTATTGTCTTACCTTCTCCGTCGCAGGTGGAGCGACACAATACCTCATCGTGAGTTCGAGGAAATACTACACTAAGCAGCCATGTTTGCAGACCTCGATGAAGGTAGGTACGAAGCACTTATAAGAAAATAGAAAAGGATGAGACCCATGATTCATATAGCTTGAACTGATGAAAAAAGTGCCTGGGGGGGGGATGCAAAGTACTCTCCTTCCTCTTTCCGAGGGGGGCATACTTTTACTGATTGAATCCCAATGGCGAGATCCGATGCTCATTTTTCGTGCATCAATTTGTCTCTGCATCTCCACCCAGCTTTAATGATCTTCGTCAACTGCCTGTCCGTCTTCATGTTCTTTTCCATCGTCATGTACCATTTCATCACGGTCAGTCCCCGCAAGGATCTCGAGTAAGGGGGTAGTGCAGGAGAGAGATGGGAGAAGATGGTGTCAAAGTAAAGTAACGGACTCGGAGAGCGCCAGGGAAGCAGCCAAGGAAATACAGGGAGTGTTGCGAGAGAGAGGGAGCAAATATCTGTGTGTTTCGGTCTCCGTAAGAGGGCGTGATGAGGCAACAAGGGAACATTGTTCACGAAGAAAGAGGAAAGCCCACTATTTGGCGCGAATAACGACAATTACCGGCCGAAGCACAGAGATACGGTTGCTATTCATTTTTCCTTCCGAGAGGGCAATGTTGGCAGGCGTCTGCCGGCGTCTCTCAGGCACGTCCAGGCATCATGATGATTTGACTCCCTTCTCAATGTCTTATTCGAATCTACCTACAGTGCGCGGGGCACCTGTCCGCCTGCTCCATCCGTATCCGTCTTGATGTCACTTTCCAATGTATTCACAAGGATACACGTGATCTTGGCCTTTGTCTACCGCCTTCATCTCCACTGCACACGCGGCTTTTCATATCAACCACCAGAACCCCTCATCTTCCACCCTTCATCTAATTCACCCCGTGTAGCACACTCCGCCCCACTCGCCTTCCTCTCCCCACCCCATCCAGCATCCCCCCTTCCTCAATCCCCCCCTTCCTCCCGTCCCGCCCTCCCCCCAGGCCTCCGCCTCCTGCAGCACCTTCGCCAGTCCTTTGCGGACGTCGGCGTGGTTGTGATGGAAAAGGGACCAGAAAAAAGGTGGGCTGCGTCTGGCAACCTCCTCTAGCTTGACTGATGAGTGCTCGATGGTGGCTTTGCTGAGGAGGGTGGAGAGAGGGGATAGAGAGGGGAACGGGAGGAGAAGTCAGCGGCCAAGTTTAACGCAAAAGTCGGTGTGAGTGGGGAAGACAATCACGAGGGGCAAGGAGGGGAAGGACGGTGGAGGAGAAAGGTGAGGCACTGTGGTACCGGAGGCTATGGAGCCCCACCCGCCTGCAAACCCCAGGCTCCCCCTCTCCCCCCCCCCCCCTCCTCTCCCGCTACTCACCGTCTTTTCGTCGATTGCTTTTGCAGCACGCCCGCAAAGACCCGGGCCATTTCGTGCATGCTGTACAGAGGCCCCTGGTCTCGGAAAGATTTCCCGTTGAATTCCATCGTCACAATTAGCGTCGGTCGTCTCCTTCCCTCCTTCCCTACCTCTAACCCTGCCTCCGCCCCTCCTGGATTGGACCAGGCTATGTCGACAGCCCTCCCTGCTGTTTCCGCGGCTCCCAGGCGCGCGCAAGTCATCAGCTGTTCGTGCATGCTGACACCCAAACCTCTCATGCCTGTCCCGCCATCTCCGGCTCCCATCACGTACTCCACGGCCAAATCGTCCGCATTAAAGGGGTCTCCAGAGCTACCCCACTCAATGGTTGTCTTGGCCTTTTTCTTGTCGATAAGGCCCTCTTTTTCCTTTTTTAACGCTGTCCTCCACCCAGACGGTGCTGTCGCGCTAGACGGCTTTGTCGCGGTAACTTTGACGTTCTCAAAGCTGCATTCCGACTCCATTCCTGGTGGTGGCTCTGTGTACACCAGTGATGAAGGCGATGCGGTTGTGCCCATCTTGACTTGCTTGTGCGGCTTCTGGCTTGCTCCTGTTGCCTTTGCGGGCAAGGGAGGCGGCACCCACTCGTCGTCGCTCACAGCCTCTTCACTTTTCGGTCTCTCACTCACTTGAACAAGGGCTTGTGCGTCACGTTTAGGCGTATTTTTTTGACGCGGCATGCCCTTTTCTAGTAGTGGATGTATATAAGGCAAATGCGCTGGGTGAAGACGCCTGCGCGACCAGGTGAGGATGGACTGATGAAATGACGTACGGTCCCGATGCTTGAAGCTCAGAAAAGTCAGCCGAAAACACGTGCATCATAAAAAGGCAAAAACAAAAACACATACGTAAAAGCGGAAGGCGGAAATTATGCGCGTAGATTCCACGTATCCTCCCGCGGCTCTTCATAAATACGTGCAGCAGCCCATTTACCGCATTGGAGTTTAACCTCCCCACCCCCTCGTCTGGCATTTTTGAGTAGCTCCAGGCAGAATTTTCCTTTTTTTTATTGTTTCTACGTTGACTTATATGCAGGTTTACGACTTTCTGTAGTCACAGGCTTTATCACATCACTCCTCCGAGTCCTCGCTGTATTCCCCCTCATCACTCTCATCCATAGCCACCTCCTCCGCCACGCCGTCGCCCGTCTCCGCCTCCCCTTCTTCTCTCTCGCCCCTCCCTTTCCTCAACGCCTTCACCCGCTTTACACGCATTGATGTCAGATCCTGCCGGCCAACGTGTACCCTCCCCACTGTTTCTCCCAGCACGTTGGTGGACTCGTTCTTTACCTTCTTCGGCCGCAAGCCCTTTGGCTGCTTACAAGCCGTCCTCCACAAATCCGGTGCAGCCAATTGATGCCGTCGCACAGTAAGGGTAAAATTAGGGCCCATAGCCTCCAGTAAAACATTGGGCACGCGTCCTTGCGATTTCTTGAACTTGACATGGTAGTTTCGGACAAGAATGGAGTCGGTCCCCATGGCCGTGAAAGACGTGACCGCGTCTATGCCTGCTAAAGCCACCTTGTTCACCTCGTCCACCCGGAAAAAATCTGGACGGAGAAAGAACGAGGGCGGGCGAGGGGGGAGGCAGGGAGGTCAAGTGAAAGCTTTCTGATGACTGAGGGACAAAAGGAGCAGTTTGGAAACCCACAACCGGGCTTTACGATCCGTCCTTTTTCACCATGCAGGGCACAGACTGGAGAAACAAACCAAAAATCCGTCCCACCTACCCATGAACAGGTTCTGAATGCGCTCCAAGGTCGCGTCCTGGTGCCACCCGTCCCCCGCAAAGACCAGGCAGGGTTTCGACCCGCACCGCTTCTTCTCCGTCGCCTTGACAGCGTCCAGCCCCTCCACGCTCGAGACCCCGAACTCAACCATGTCCAAGAGGTGCTTGTCGTATGTGCGTCCCATGATCAGGTTCTGCGGCCGCTTCTTACTGTGAGATCCAAAGCAGAAAAGGGCGCAATCGTTCTTGTCGGCCAGGAACTCCAGGGAGGTTACGTCCTCAAAGGGACGAATTTCATTCTTTCGGCTCAAAAACTTTGCGTTGGGCTTCAAGAGTTTGGTCTGCAGAGGAAGGAGGGAGGGGAAGGAATGAAGGGATGGAGTTGCGGGAGGGAAACTTGCGTGCCAAGTCGAGAGTGTCTAGATTTCCAACCGTGCAATAAACATCAACGTTGGCATGGCATACGCACCAAGTCCCGGAGCACCGTCTGCAAAAGCTGAGGACATTTCGTTCCCTTCAAAAATAAAGCTTGCTTCCCATCCTCCACCAGCTTCGGTTCCTTGGCTTTCAGCAGCCGTAGCACGCGCGCTTTGGGTTTTTTGGGCGTGACGCGTTTCGTCCCCATGGATGCAACTTTTGCAGCTTTCGCCGACGGTGTAGGTGCCTTTCTCTTAGCTTTTGGCCCGGTGTCGCGTTTCCCTTGTCCTTTGGGGGATGACTTGAGTGCCATAGCGCTGTCTTAGAGGGCCAGAATAAATAGAAGAGGAAAGGGAAGACTTGAGAAGGTGTTTAATACAACCGAGTCCGTCAGCATCATGAATGTTGTAATTTGTATGCGTCGAAGAGAGGAAGGTCGTGTTTCTATTTTCAGTGTGCACGTACACACCAACAGTTTGTTGATAAGAGACAGAAGGAAGATACTGGAAAGGGAGTGGCTGGGCCGTGAGCGTTTCTCCTCTTTAATGCCAATACAGACTCCAACAGCTCCCTGGCTTCCTATGGAGCTATAAAATATAGCACACCATTCGGCATAAATGTCGCATGGGGTCTCACACCACAGTGGGAAGGCCAGCGTGTCGGGCTCGACTCCTCGGCATACGAGGAGCGACACCGTTCTCGTATCGCGCTCTCGGCTTGCTTGGCCCATTTCGACGGCCTGTTGCTAAGGTAGTCACACGATGTAACAAATGGACGGATGAGGTGGACTTGGGGGAATCAAAGCAATCCATTTATACAGCGTGTAGACGTATATCGAGAACGAATTCACATTCATGGCTATAACTATAAGACGTCCTTACTTAGTCCCTTCCTTCTAGAGAAAGAATTTAATTCGAGGCGCTCATTGAACTATTAAAATGCGGTTAAACCTACATGTAACCAAATCATGCCTTTGCCTGTAAATGATTGTTTCAATTCTATACGTTCGCTTCAATATTCGGAGCAGATTCACTACAACTCCGCAGCTATTGCGAGTAGCGCTCAGGCAAGAGACGCTATCAGCAAGCAGAATGCTTGCTGAAGGCATCGCAAGTCAGCGCAAATGCAGCATTTCGACGGTGCCGTCTCAACTTTCGAAGCTTACAGTGCTTCATAGAACTTATGTATCAAGCCTTTATCAAGCCATTCACCCAAATACTGTCCCATTGCTGGATTTATACGTGCTCTCTTTCTAAACCTCTTAGTAATTTTTCCGAATCCTCTCAACCTGCTTAATGTGTGAAAGTAGAGAGCTCTCACAGTTTCTCGTCTTCCGACTCGGCAAATTGTAATTTTCATCAGACCTACTCACGCCACAAATTTTGCTCCAGAGGTGCATTTGATCGCCGTCCCCAATCGTAAAAATATGATCATTCTTATCAACGAAGATCCGCACTTAATGCCTTTCGCAGGATGTCACGTGTTCCGACTGTGTGATCTCTACAAGATCTACGTATGAAAAAAATTATAGTGATATTTCCAGCTGTCCAACATGCATTATGAGCTCGCACCACCATAACTTCGAGGTAGTCGACCTAAAACATAAATAAACCATTCAGCCTGGAATTAGAGATCAGATCTCCATTTGATAAGCTTCTCGTCCGCTCATTATATTGATCACATGATTTGAAAACGTTATTCTACTTAACATGTGGCGAACATTTGATGGCCGACTGGTAACTCCGAGAAGCCTGTGCACCTGGCAGCACCCGTCACCACTTAGTTTATTGCTGCTATGCAAACAAATAATGTTAGGAGGGAGAATCTGACGTGACTGAAATGGTCAAGCCTGCTCATAGCTACTACTGGCGATCCATAGGCTTCATCTTACTATGTAGGAGCTCGGTTCTGACAGCGGCGATACCATACCGCGGCTACCCGGAGTTTCCCTCTCCAGAAAGGCAAACGGGTTCTTACCACCGGCCTTATTTTCATCCGGCGTGTAACCGGGTTCGTCACCCGATCACACCGCGCCGGGGTAATATTTTGTTGTCTAGCGACCCTTAGGAGGGGTTTGACTTGACCTTAACGCATAAAGGTGATGGAAAACCGCACTCTGCCGAGCTTTCCAATTGAAGTTCTTCCTTCCTTGCTTCCTTACACTTGCGTCCCCAATGGGCCGCGATCGCGCTAAGTTTTTATGCGAACAAGTTGATCGAGGATATTTCGAGTACTTTCAGATGAAGGGTGGTCTTCCCTCAGTATGGTATTTGGCTTGCGTGACAAAATTGGGTAGACAGGGGGTAACGGGTCGGGTTTCGACACCACTGACGCAAGTCCTCTTACCTACTTGGCCCCCAATGGCAACTCACATGGGGTCTACCAACCATTTACAAGGCACACCGTCGATGGCGCAACTTCTCCTCGCCTACAAAAACACTCTTGAGGGTCTCTCAGTCTTGCAGGCTTCGGGGGCATTTGTTTACTGCCTAGCCCTGTTCCTGGCAGGCGCCTGGACGACGAAGCAGGTTTGGTTTTCCTTTCCTTCGGGAATCGAAGACGTGCACTCCATACCTTGGGAGCTCTTATGTGTAGCAAATGAGATAGCCGGGCGTAAGTGCATCGTAGCTGTAGGTGGATATGTGAGCCAGGGCCGATATCTTCTGGCAATAGGGTGGTCAAGTGTAGGGATCATCAGCATAGGCCAGGTCGCCGTGGGTCTCCTAAGCCTAGGATGGCTCGCATGTGGCGCAATCATCGCTGTGGGAGTATCGGCTTTGGCCTGTCCGGGAATAGTCTATGGCCTGGTGGTCTTTGGTGGGCTCAGTCCCCATTGCATGGTCGGTTTCACCGTGATGAAGACTCCACTCGCCAAGGGCGTGCTCAACCTCTCCCCGCTGCCCCTCTCGGGCCTACGTAACCTGGAGCCCTATGGCGGCGGCATTTCAAAAGCATGCCCTAAGAAAGCGAAAGAATCGCCGCGGCTCTGGGAAGATGGCAAGTACGACGAGGAGGGATGTATCCTCCATCAGGAGGCGCCACATTTGCGCCAACAGCAGGATACTCACCTACACCGAGGGGGAGTTCCACCACAACACGCGCCGGATAATGAGATACATGAACGGCACGCTGGATATCGCCCTATCCGCTTCGCACGGGGCGCCTGAACAGAGGACGAAAAGGGGGGTCTGGTGTTTCAACTGATGGAAGTGAAAGCATTTATCATCCTAGGTTCTGAAGTGGGCCTGATTTTAAAACTTGTGTGAATTTCGGCAGATTACAGGTAGCCTGGCTGTGTACAATGAGACCTCGTGTAGACTCTGAAAATACGAACGGGGTACACTGCTTTTGGTTCCTACACTCACTGCTTGCAGGCGGTGGCGACACTCTGATTGCAGAGACGCGTTGTCTCAGGAAGATGGGCCAAAATTGGATTGCCTTTCATCTCACATCGTGTCCATTTCCGATTCGTCGCATGCCCCGACCATTTTAAGAGGGGCGCGAATGCAAAAGGCAACACAGCAAAGCGAGGCGAACACTGAAGACACCACCTCGACCGCTTGGCCGATCGCGGCATTGTCCTTCCTTCCTCTTTGTTCAGAATGACTTTATAACACACACATTGTCTTAAGAAGGGCGAGCTTTAGGCGTGCTAGGAGGGAGGGTGCACCTTGCTCTCAATCACCCCTCCAGTCCCGTCTCCCTCCTCTTCTTGGAGGGCCTTCGACTCTCCCATGCCTGGCGGCTTCCCTTCCCTCTCTTCGTTCCCCACCGACGTCAAAACAGGAGCCTCGAGGGACACCAGATCTGGTGGTGCGATCTCTTTCTCCTCCTGGTCCTCCCCTCCATCCTCCTCCTCCTCCTCCTCCCCCTCTTCCACTTCCTCCTCCGTCTCCTTCATCAGGTAATCCAGCCATAGCTCCCCCAACGTCTTCCCTTCTGTGCCGTTCTCGGGTACGAATTCCTTGCGCGGAGAACTCATGACCCCTCCCACCCTTGAGAACAACCCTCCTACCAACCCCCTTTTCCCCGGGCTGCCCGCCCCCCCCCCTTCCCCCACCCCCGCCCGCCTACCCCCTCCTGGCCGCAAAGCCCTCAAACCGACTTTTATCCGCTCTTCGTCTGCAAGCCCCAAGGTCCGTGCGATGATTTCCAGGGTCTCCGTGGGCCTGCCCTGGCTGTAGTAGGACACCACCAGGTTCCCAATCAACTGCCTCGAGACCACGTCGGACTCGTTGGAATGCAGCCGGGCAATGGCCTCGTCCAGGGCCTTCCGCACCGAGGCCGCTTCCCGCCGTGCTTGCTGACACTCCGCTAGGGCTTTGCGTGTCTCCCGCTCCGATTCCTCCACGCTGAGAGTGGCTTGTGCCTGGGCGTCAGCGATCTGAGCTTGGAAGGAGGTACGCAAATGGGCCTCACGCGTCTCCGCCGCCGCTGCCTCCGCCGCCAGTTGTTTCGCGTGCGTCCTCTCCCAGTGCTTCATTTCCGCGGCTTTTTCACGCTGAAATTGTTCCAACACCTTCTGCAAATTCGCCTTGGCTGTCTCGCTCTGTTCGAAGTCCCGAGTCAGGACACCCAAATCCGCCCGGGTGCCCGCCAGCTCCGCCCCTTGTTCATGGGCGGCATGCTCCGCAGCCTGCAGGCGCTCCAACAACCCCCTCACTTTGTTCTCGGACTCCTCCTCTTGTCGCACGGCATTGGCCTCCATGGTGGCCACGCGGGCCTTCCAGACCGTCACCTCCTCCCGCAGCGCCTCCAGGTCGGCCTCCTGGGCCCGGGCGTCGGCCGCCCGGAGGGCGTGCAGATGCCGGTCTTTCTCCTCCACGAGGCCTTTCACCATTTCCTCCGCCGCCTCCAACCGCCGGAGGTGCGCCTCCCCTTCCCTGCGGGCCCGCTCCAATTCATGCGCCTTCGCCTTGACCAGTTCCCGTTGCTGCTCGATGACGACCCGGAGCTGGCCCATTTCGTGCTCTTTCCCACGCAATTTCCCAGCCGCCTCCGCCAGCCGCTTGGAAAGCTCCGACTCGGACAGGGAACCGGCATGGGTAAGGGTTTTCTTTTGCTTCTCCTCTGCCAAGGCGTGCTCCAGGCGTTGAATCTCCCTTGTCCACCGGTTCCGCTCCTCTGACCGGGCCTCCTCCTCCTCCCCTTCGCCTTGCCTTCCCCGCAGCCGGTCGAGTTCCGCGCGCAGATGCCCCAGTTCCGCCTCGGTTGTCGCCCGGGTCACCCGCAACGCCTCCTGCTGCTGCGCCTCCGCCGTTTTCTGCTCCTTCTCCAGGACTATCACCCTCTCCCGCACATGTTTCAACTCCAAAGCCCGAGCTTCCGCCGCCGCCTCCCACTCCATGGCCTCCCTCCTGGCCTCCTCTAGTTCCTGGGCCAGTGCCTCGCCGTCCGACACCCTGGAGGGGGGGGTTGTCGCAGGGATCGAACCGGGGGTGAGCCCACTGCTGGTGCGGTTCCTCTCGCTCCCAGAATCCCTTTCACGGAGACTGGCCGACTCCGCTTCCAACATCTGGCACCGGCGCCGCAATTCCTCGGTTTCGTTCCGGAGGGCCGTCACTTCCTTCGGCTCCCCCCCCTTCCAGCCCTCTAGCTCCGCCTCGAGCTGAAAACAACGCCGTCGCAGCTCCTCCGCCTCCCCCTCCCGGCCTGGGCCGGTGGACGGACTCTTCTTTTCCCCCTGTGCTGCCTCTTCTCCCTTCTTCCCTTCCACCAGGGCCAGGGCGTTTTCCAAGGCATGGGATTGGCCGCGGTCTTCCCCCGACTCTCTCTGCTTCTCCCGGTGGGCGGCTGAGACGCTTGCCGCGCTGGCCTCCTCCAGCGCACGGCATTCGCCTTCCACGGCCGCTATGCGTGCCAGGTACCTTGCTTTTTCCTCCCCCCACGCTTCTTCTCTTCGTCTTCGCGCCATTTCCACATCGGCCTGGGCGTGGGAGGCCGACGATTCCAGGACTGCCTGGAGGCGTTGGAGGATCACCCTGAAATCCCGAGGAGGGGGGCGAACGTCCATGATCTCAGCCAATCCGTTCACGAGTCCCGTGTGCTCGTCCAAAGCGGCCTGAATGGCTTGGAAAAGGAGCTGCGTGGGGCCTACCAATCGATCCCGGAGGGTGGCCGGGGGGGGGGGAGGCGGTATCCGGGGCCGAAGGCGGGGGCATTTGGGGGAGCGGGGAGGAAGCCGCCTCTTTCCAGCGCGTCACGTCTTGGAGCAAATGTTCGTGCACGTCGCGGTTCCCGATCAAAGCGCCCACTTCCTCCGCCGCCTCCACCAGGGTGGCCACAGCCAGGGCCCCGCCGTCCTCCCGGTCTTGGGCAGCGAATTTCCAGGCCCGCGACGTGCGTTCGAGCAAAGCCTCTTTTTCCTGCACAGCCCGGACCAAGGCCTTGTTTTCCCCCTCCACGGCCTCCACGCGGAAGCGCCACTGGTTGACTTCTCGCTGCAGGTGCGGTGCGTCCAATGGGCCGGAGGCGGCGACCGAGAGAGGCTGGCTGGGGGCCCCTGGACGTGGCGGCTCTCGTCGATCGATTCCAGGAACGGGACTCGGCGAGGACGTCGACCCCCTGCCCGCATGGCCGGCTTGGCTCCTGGGGAGACACGTCGCATTCTCCCGCCCGGCAGGGGAGGTAGGGAGCGCGGTCAGAGTGTGCTCCCCACGGGAGGACTCCTCAGCCTCCGCTTTTTCCGCAACACGCGTCGTTTCGTCTGCGTCCCCTGTGAATGCGACAAGCGCATTTGTGGCTTCTGTGGTTCGAGACGCCATCTCATGGCGCTGTGTCACGGCCACAGTGCTAGGAGAATTGGAGGGGTCGGACGGTGCAGCCCGCCTCCTGGATGCCTCCTCTTCTTCTCTTTCTTTTTGTCGGGCGTCTGTGGGCACAAGCTGGGGACCCCCTGACCTGACACCTTCCTGCACCGTCCTTCCCACTTCTTCCCCCCGCAGCCATTGCTCGTACTCCTCAGTCCCGCCTGCCCCCCCTCCTCCCCCTCGCCCCCCGGGGCCCCGCTCGGCGATCTCTTGCATGTCGTGCAGCACGGGTGCCATCACGTCAACCGCCTGCGCCGCCGCAGTCTGCACCACGTTGCCGACGCTATTGAGGAGCGATCCCCAACGCGACGAGGCCATGCCCGACTGTGGAGAGGGCAACGTGTGGGATGAGAGGGGTCAAGGGGTCAAAGGGGGGTAAGAAGGGTTTTGAATAAAGCGATATCAGCGAGAGACCTCCTGCGCCTTACGGCCCGACCCGAAAATGCTGCAATACAAATAAAAAGATACGGTGTCTCTGCATGTATTTGCAGCTTTAGAAAAGTAAGGAGGGGGGGAAACATTTGCCCGCAAGAAAGGACGTTGGAGGATGAAGATCGCACCAGAGGCAGCATTGCCGCGGTTCTAGCGGAAGCCGCTTCCGGGCATGTCTCCGAGGGGATGTCGAGAATGAAGCAAATCAAACCAAAATATGCCTCCAGTTTAATTCAACATTTCAATAAGATGTACATGATGAGAAGTGAAAGAATGCTTCGACGTGAAAGCGCTAAAGACCTGAGATCCAAAATCCAACAGACAGAGGGATGCTGCCGTTCCCGAGATATTCCACATAACACCTGGCACGATTATGTCGTTAAGAACAAACAGGCCCTTTCCCACTCCACTTTGCCTATCTCATGGTATTTTCCGTCCTTCCTAAATCTTTTCCTACATCTATCGACCGCTTTCCTTCTAGCCCTTTCCGCGTGCTTTCCCCCACCGTTTACCCCCCAATCCCAACCCCACCCTCCACCCTCTCTATTTACTTTTGAAAGCTGAAGCTGTAGGAGCCCGTGTTGGGGTCCTGCTGCATCTTAAAATTGTCCAAACTCAGTCCAAAATTACTCAGGACGCTGTTGCCCAGATCCTTCAGTTTCCCTATCGTCTCCGTCTTGAGCTTCTCCATGCGCGCGGCACATTCTTTTTCCAACCCAGGCATCTTGGCGCGGACCACGCGGTTCCCCGGGTCCAAGGCCAGCACCTCCTTGTAATCTTTCAGGGCGTCCTCCAGCTTGTCCAGACGCTCGGAGGCCTGGGCCCGGCGCATCAACGCTTTTGCATACCCGGATTTAAGCTTGAGGGCGACACTGCAGTCCTCCACCACCTCTCGGTCCCGCCCCAGATGGACCCAGCATGCTGCCCGGTTGCAGTAGTACACGGCACACTCCTCCTTAAACTCGGCAAACGGTTCTTTTTCCTCCTCCGCGCGCGTTGCGTCCGCCTGATGGGAGCCCCCACAGGACCCGGTAGTCCCCTCCTTCCCTCCCGTTCCAGAGGGTGCCGTGGCCCCGGACACTCCGCTGCCTCCTGTCTCGGGCGTCGCGACGTTCTCTTCCCCACTCTTTCGCGCCCTTTCCTCTTCTTCTTGGGCGGCCCAGGCCCGTCGACGTGCCTCTGCCAATTCTTTCTCCTTGTCGTACTGGTATGGGCAGAATTTGATGGCAAGACCGTAGCATTCTGCGGCCCCCTGGAAATCCTGCGCTTGGTAGCAGGTGTTACCCTTCTCCTTCAAGCCCCGTGCTTTCTCTGCGTCTCGTTCCTCTTCTGGCACCACCCGCAGTTCTTCAAATTGCTCCGACAGGTCCTCCGCCCCGATGTCCTCCACTACATTCACGTCATTTTCGGCTTCAAAAAATTCTTCCTCCTCCACATCATCACGTCCCTCTACAGCTGGTATCTCTTTTGCGGAAAAATGAGAGGAAGAAAGGGACGCTTCTGTGTATTTGGTCCTCATCGTGCCCGGGCCCGAGGATGTGGGCGAGGACACCGACACAGGCTCGTCTGCCATAGCGAAACACCCCTGTGCAAGATAGTCAGAAAAGAAGACAAGTGCCATCGCGTGAAAAGATGTGGAATACGAAGCCACGAGAACACCACGAGGTCTCCCCGCCTGTCTGGAACGCGGTTTGCGGCTTCGACGATGAGGCTCAATGTTCTGAATTCCAGAGCTTCGATTCGCCCCTCGCCAAGAGGGAGACCGCGAGGAGCACGAGGAGCTCGTGCGTCTACTCGTTTAATCCCACAACATTGTGAGGAAAGGCACGATAGGGGTACATGGCCTGCTTTTTTTCAGTCTCATGATCTGTGTGCTTCGATTTCGACGAAATGGACCGCATGGTCTGACTGCATCTCTCTCACAAACCCACCCTCCTTCGCTTCCTCCCATTGTTCCTTGCAGGAGGACCACCGTGCCCCTCGAAAGCAATCGCAAGCGACATCGTCACCCCTTCGAGCATGTCCCAAGCCAAGCAAAGCCCCAGCAAGATGCTGGTTATGCTCCCCATTTTTTTCATGGCTCAAAAGGTGACTACGACGGAAGGGACCTCGGCGCCGCCCCCCTTCCCATTGCTTCACCCAAAACCCCTGTTTGTCCCTTGCAAGAAATGTCGTCTTAGCACACCTGCACCTCGCATGCACATGTTCTTCATTTTCTTGGTGAAAATTTCTCGGTTTCTTCTGCTTGCATTGTCTCACGCTTATTTTCGTTCTGGCGCTATGCGGTGCTCGCGTTCCCCCTGCTCAAACCCCTCGGTTATCCTTTTCCAGGTCACCTACACCGACGATCTTGTCAACATTCTCCGTATTTCCTACTACGCCGTCCAAGCCGTCACCCTTTTTGTCGCCTACGTATATATTCGCAACAAAATCATAGCGGCCAACGATCGCACCCCCATATACCTTCCCCCTGTGGCCTTGCCCTTCGGCATGGGTCCTGCTGCGGACAACCCCCGGCCAAAGGAAACCAGCTACGTTGACCACGAGATGGAGCAGGTGCGTGGGCGGTTTGGAAATGGTGAAGGTGGCAGACTTGAATTCGATCGGCGCTTGTCTAAGTCGTGTTTCTGAGTCTAACCAGCGTCATTGGCTTGCTTCCGTCCTTCGCTTCCTCTTTCTCTCCATCACCTCCCCATCCCCCATCTTTAGTTGAACACACTGATCCGTTCCACCCTGATCGGCGTCGCGATGGTCTCTTTCATGCATTGGAAGATGGGCGTGAAACCCGTCCTCCTGCTCCAAACCCTCATGGGCCCGATGAACCTGATGGACAATGGGCTGGTTAAGAAATACGTGTTGGGGAGCAAGGAGCGTGTCTGGGGGGAGCTTCTAGACGGGGAAGATGACGCGACGATCCCTGTCGGGGCTGTCGGGGCGGTGGAGAAGGAGGGAGAAGGGGAGAGCGTGGAGGAGAAGGCTAAACGGATGGAGAAGGTGATGGACGAGGTCTTTAACAAGGAGAAGCCCTGTGCGGCCCTGCTCAAAGTGTTACAGAAGGAGACTGTCAATTACCAGACGCAGCAGGAGCAATACAGGTCCGTAAATGTCTGAGATAAGGGGATACGATGCGGGGACTAACGCTCCGACTGCGCAAAATCCTCACCGTTCCCTCCCTTTCTCTACCCCACCCCGCTCCACAGCCCCCTCACTGTACTTTGCAGTCGCCCCGATGTGACGGAGGAGCAAGTCAAGCAAGCGCTGTTCCTGGGTGCCCATAAATTCCATAGGGACGAAGACGGGTGCACGGCCCTACACTGGGCAGCCATGAAAGGGGCGGTGGCGGCTGCTACGGTTTTGACCTCAGGGAGTAATCGCGACGTCGAGGTACGCGGATCTGTAGGCTGGATGGCGAGAAGGGATATTCGACTCGTGTGCGGCCTTTCTGGGTTTTCTTCAAGCGCTTGCCAAAGACCGTGACGGGGCAAGGAGGCCACCACCCCACCAGCGATATTTGCTTTTGAGAAATCAGGAGAGATGGAGATGAAGAGGAAGGCGATGTGTGCAAGAATGAAAGAAAAATGCTTGCGTGACTCATCAATGTTGCGTGTATCTTTTCTCACTCCTGCAGAAATTGCTTGGAATGCAAGATGGGGACAAGAAAACGGCCTTGGAACTGGCGAAAGAAAGTATTGAGCCGACTCACGAGCAAGTGGAGGCAATTTTACAGGCTGCGGAGAAGAGGATTGAGGCAGCGATGGTAGAAAATTTGGATTGAATGGGCTGCATCCAGTATAGGAAGGAGGTTTGAGTTTGTGGTGAGCGAGGAACAACGCTGTGAATAGAGTGGAAGAAACGGATTGACTTGAGGACAGTGGCTCGATCAAGAGAAGCAGATAGAAGAATTAAGTTTTTGGAAGCGCAATGAAGAAATGAGAAGAAGGATATGGGGGATGTTGTTTCTTGATGCGAGGCACTGCTTTTTGCAAGTGATGCACTTTCATGTCCAAGGGCGCCAAAAGTGAAATGCGTGGTCTCTTCATTCCAGTAAAGTAAAAATCAAACGATCAAATTCTCCAACAAGATCCATGTGGTCGATTCAGTTCGTCCCGTTTAATAAAATAGAGAGGTCGACAACGTCTATCATTGTTTTGAATATTTTAAAATGACCTCCTTAACGGTCATCCGTTAAGTCCCCGTTACTGCTCTCCCACTACTACTCGCGCGCGGCAACCCGCATTCGCCGTCCATTTGACTACATTTAACGCATGAGCTAGCTTCAAGCATTCATTAATATTTAGCTTTTTGCATCAATTACTTTATCACGGGATTATGTGGTCCGACACACAAAGTGCGTACCAGATATCCAGTGAGATCGCATGTGGGAAAGGAGGCCGAAATCCCCCCGCACGATCGCACCAGCTATTCTTACGAATAAGTCATTGCCTTCGGAGTCATACGTGCCATGATAATCCACCTACAAAGGAGCCCGTATAGTCACAAACATCTAAAGAAAGGATCACCACAAGGATGACGGCTTCCCAATTCCCTTCCACATCTCATCAGGGTAAAGAAATCACCTCCTCCCTGACAAAAACTTCAAAGCCTAAGAGCCCAATCTGTCGACAAGCGCTGTTTACAGCTGCTATGCTTCGATGCGCCTCCCCATTTGGAATGATTCCTCCCGAGGAATCAGAATGCAACGACGTAGGGGAAGGCCATGGCATAGAAGCAAGAGAAGCTGAGTTACAGCCCGCAGTTGACAGCTTGGCCTCAAGCATGTCGTACCATCCTTTAGTAGAAGACCCCGAATGGAAACTCTTCGCGTCGTTCGACAGTCTGGATTTCAGTTTTGTGGGGGGAGCTATCGGAGTCTGTCGGCCAGTACCACAAGAGGTGAGTGAGGGACGTATTTTTCCGGTCTTCCAAAAGAGCAGCTGTTGAGGCAAAGCTTTAATTGATTATCAAAGAATAGAGCTGAAACAGAAACGTGAGCACTTCTCATTCCCCTTTGCCTGCTCTGTCGATCTTCTCTTCTGCTCTTCCTCAGTTTTCCCCGATTTACAAAGCCACCCTGACGATGCTGAAGCCCACGATCCTCCGACTCACTGGCCTTGGATCTCTCTTTCTTGGCAAAAAAGAGCGCGAAGTCATGCTTTGGGACACACCAATTTCCCCCACAGCCGCTTCCGTCAGTCGACCATCCTCCTCCCGCCCTCCCGCAGACAATTTGCGATTAGCGGATCAGATGCTTCGTCTCGCCTTGGTGGGGAAGCCACGCCGTTACTCCTACTGGTATTTGCAATATTTCACAACTACGGACGTCGGTAAATTACTGGGGCGATGGCATGGAGATTATAGGGAGGAGTCAATGGAGGAACGGAGGCAGGGAGAGAGCGTGGAGAACAACGTGATCCTGGCTAAGATCGAAGAGATGACAGGGACGAGGATCTTGGTGGCGCCCCATGATGGAATGGGGGTGCGTCGGTGTTTCCTGCTGATGGGCGAAGAGGAGTTGGTGACACGAGCGCTAACTTTGTTACAGGGCGCCGTCGCGCAAAAGATATGCCCGAGTCGAAAGGAAGGGGCGGAGATACTGGCGAAGATGGGAGGGAGGGAGGGAGGACTAGGCAGGGACGAAAGATTGGAGGAGATCCGCCTCGAGTTGCGGGATAAACACAAGCTGAGGATGATGGAGGTGCAGGTGAGTGGATGGGAATGACGCTGCACGGGACTTGAAGAGAGAATGGGTGATGGTGGTGTCCTGGCATGCCCAACGCACGACCCCATCGAGCAAATATGCCTCCATGTTTTCCTTCCCTACCCTCCGGAAGCCAGCTATCACCGTTACCGTGCCTCACTCTCAGTCCTCTAGTATCCTCTTTCTCTGCCTCAATGCCCGCAGCGAGATGGAAACTGCCTCTTTCGAGCCCTCTCGGCTTTCGAGCATGGCACCGAGAGCCAGCACAAGCAGGTGCGCGCCATGATTGTCGCCCGCTTGGAGGAGGTCCCGGAGGCCATGGCAGTGACGGCACTAGTGGAAGGTGTTTCGGAGGAAGAGTATGTGAAAGGCATGGCCCAAGACCGGCAGTGGGGGGGCTACACCGAGTGCATCGCATATTCGGAGGCAAGGGGAAGGTCTGTGCGCCTGTTCGTGGAGAACGAGAAAATTGGACTGCGTTGCACGGACATTGACGCCGGACAAGGGCCTCAGCAGGACGATGGGAGCCGAGTACACTTGTTACTTTACAAATCGCACTACTGGTTACTAGTGCGAGGGTGATCTATGATCGCATTAGTTGAAGGAAATTATCAGATTCAGCAGTTTTCAACATTCGTGCACAGCGATTTTTAAAAACATCGTTTTGAGAAATGTATGTGAGCATGTACAAGTTTGTGGTGAGGTTAAGATAGCTGTCAACCACCTTAAAATTGGAGTCGCTCAGAACAGAACTGATCTGCTCGATTGAATTTCATATACACATTTATATAATTTCTGGAAGAAGAATGTGAAGTAGGCGAATGTAACATGAGTCATATTGCTATACCTTGTTCAAGGAATACTCTTCCTCTCCACCATCTATATCAGATTTGCGAAGTATGGGTAGGCTTTCATATGAAGAAGGTGTAGCCGTATTTTATCCTCCGTGTTAAAACATCTCTTGTCATTGGCCGAAAGTGTTATCTAGGAAACATCGCAGACAATAGCTGATTGGGAGATCGTAAAAATGTACCACTCCAGAAACTTCCTTCGTGATTGCGAAATGTGTATAGAATGTATAGACTTTATCTTGTCGCAGTTATATCACAAAATGTGTCGAAGTGTGCGATCGAACAGTTCCTTCGACAGCATCACAGTCCATGATACTGGAGCTCGACAAGCTACATGCACCATTCACGAATCATAACCCGCATTGAGAATATCTCAAAATTCCAAAAGTGCCAATCTTGACTTGTATCAGCGGCTTAAGGGTGCAAATTACGCGTTGGCCGAGGACAGAGAGTAGTGGAAGGGGTTGTACGCAAGCGGGCTTCGTAACGGCTTGGATGGTTAACGGCTAGCAAAAAAAAACAGAATTTCGCACGTGGTGCTTCCGCCCACCCTCACAGTCTCTTGCACACGATCGCTTGCAGCACACGATGGGTTGCTCGCTCTCATCTTTCTACTGTGTAAATCTCAATTTTAATGCTTTTTTTCAGGTCTCTGATGCATCGCAATTTTTATTTCACAGGTTTTTTAATTCGTCCTGGACAATGGTCTTCATGTGAAAAAGCTTGCGATCCCCCCACCCTCAATAGTTTCTGCTATTTTAAAAAGTCCTGGATTGTATTAAATGCTACGGTACCAATTTACTAAGAAACTTGCCATCTTTCTGACCTCTTCGCTCCTTCTCTTGCTGATATGGGATGAAGGGGCAGTGATATGGCACCAACACGACCAACTCTCTGATGGGAGGCGGTCCCTCTTCTCCTTTTTGACCCGTGCATTATCTTCGGGGCGATCGTTTCGGAGACGATTCATACAGAGGCACATTGACTCTTTCACTCCGTCATCACACAGCCGTCGCACCCTTTGCGTGGATCAAGGTGGCTTTTACAAAGGCTCATGGGTGCGCACTCCAAATGTTACCCGGCCGCACACGCACGTCAAGCTGAAACCCCACGCCTTCACTCGCGCAGAGTTAGATTTTAGAAAAATATACCCAATAGAGCAAGGATGGAAGAAATATCATCTACCATGGAATGAGTACGACTTCGAGCCGCACCAAGCGGCGTGTAAAATACCTGAGTGGAATGTAACCAGAGCTTGCCAGATATTGGACGGTGCCTTGTCTGCAAGCCGCCGGATTCTCTTCGTGGGAGACTCCATGTCGTTCACTATGGCCCTCTCCTTCTTGCTTATGATGGGTGGCGACGGTATTATTACCGACCAAAGTGCGTGGAAAGAGCAAGCCATTTGTGACGAGGGAATCTTGCCCAAGGGCCCTATATTTGTACATTTTATCCGCAACGACGCCCTTTATGTTGACCCTACCATTGTGAAAAGTTGGAAAGAAATTCCGGAGCTGAGCAAAACGGAGATGGCGGGATCAGATTTCCGGGTCAGCAAACCATGGACGCCGTATTACGATGAGTCTAAACCGGAGCTCGTGATATTGAATTTGGGTACGCACATCCACTCTACGCCTTTCTTCAAAGTTTTGATGGACGAGGTTTTGTCATTTTTATCCCAACGTCGAGCGATGGCGGTGGCGATGGGTCGACGGCCTCCGAGAATTTTATGGCGAACCACTGCGCCAGGTCATCCGGAATGTTGGAAACACCAGGAGCCGATAAAGGCAGGGAAAGAGAGAGCATCGCCTTTGTATGAAGGGGTCTACCGTGATCGATACACGTGGCATTTGATCGAAGACATGAATACATACATGGAAACGCGGGTGAAGGAGGTACTCGGGGAGAAGGATGGGCCGACTGTGATGAGATTGCACGACATTGTCAAGGAGCGGGCGGACGGGCATCTCCAAGGCGATCTTGGCGATTGCCTGCACTACCATTTACCTGGACCTCCGGATTGGTGGACAAGGGTGTTTCTTGAGGTGCTGAGGGAGTTGGTGTGAAGGGAGGATGAGAGAGAAGCGAGGGCAGGGGGTCCTTTTCGAGGCTGACTCTCTGACGCACAAAATGTGTTCAATCGACTTTTTTACCGCCTAGAAGGCTAATTTTAGATATTTTCCCTAAAGACCTAGCATTCACTCAAACTCAGGCAAAATACTTTACATGAAATTACACCTTGGACTTTTTATAATACACGTATGCGAGTTTTGATGGCGACGGGCAGTTCTTGCGGGCTTTGTCAATTTCATCATGTTATTTGATGAAATTGTAGGACGTGGCAATCCAGCATGGACGTGCTGGTGACAGGCCACAATTTGAGAAAAACAATTTAAAATTGCAAGAATTTTGGGGAAGGGAAGTTGATGCGATTGTGATCATTAAAGTGGGATCAAAAGTAACTACATGGGGGATAAACTGATGACCTCAAGAGCCTATTAAATACTCGAATAAATAAAAGGCATTTGTCGAGATATGGCTGTAGACTACGCCGTTGTTCGTCCTGTTTAACGTGGACGGACCCCAATACTTTAAACGGGTTCGTAGCTACTTATCTTAAACCAATACCCTATGTCGACATGTTCCATGTACTCCTTAGATCTCAATCTCGCGCAAAGGTAGTCTATAGTCTCCCCTTTAGCAATATACTCCATATTGTACCATGTAAAAATCGAGCGAACTTTGTAAATGCGACGATAGTTCAATTAAACCAGTCGTGGTATCCTAGTCATTGAAGACAGCTGACTGCTTCAACTTGATGCTTGCTTGCTTCGGTGGGGGGGGTATCCTCGATATTATGTCCAATGGAAATGATAACCCTTCAAAATTACATTTCAATTCAATGTGATATGGGCATTCGATAATGTCTAAATATTTTGCGAAATGATAATGTCGGGGACCAAATTTCGATGCATGGGGGGACGCGACTCATGTAAACGAAAGGAATCAGAGGGCCGAGGGCGAGGCCTTTTGCTTCCCTGAGGCATGTGCTAGGCCAGTACACCACGCTTGCCAAGCTAACCCTACTTGTACGAGATGCTATAGAAAAGGCATTCGGCTCTTTCCAAGGGAAACGGTAGGCCCAAATCTTTTGAAAGCATTTTGAAGCGCAAGAAACTAGGCAACCGAAATCGTCCCCAGCTCTGGACGGCAATTTCCGTAAGAGGAGCCCGGGGCTGAGTGTCGATGCATTCTCAAAATTTCTCTCCTTTCTTTCTTCATACTTAAACTGTCTTCTCTTCCCATCCCATCACCACTTCCCTTTCACTTCACCGCATCTCCGTTTCGCTCTCGCTCCCTCTTTGTCCCCCTCCTTCTTTGCTTTCGCTCTATCTCCCGAGGGCACATGCATCGCATTGATTCTTCGAGCCCATAATGACATTTCCGCTTTGCGTCTCTCACCTGGGATTCAAAACTGTTTCCACCGACATCCTCTCCATGATATATCCCACCCCTTCGCTCCGTCCTCCAACTTCCTTGGGCCCCACCTCCCCCTCTCCCTGTCACTACCTACCTCATCCCTCAACTGCCTCTAGCGCCTCCTCGATCCTTCCCTCTCCCTCGCCTTTCTTCCCCCCTCCCTACTTTCCCCCCAACCTGGCGGTCCGCACATCCTTGAGCTGTGCCAGGGCCCGCAGCTTCTCCAACGCGGGGGCCGGAACCTCTCCGTCCACGCTCATCAGGCACAAGGCCAGGTCCGTCTCCTGACGCCCCAGGGTCAGGTTGGCCACGTTCACCTAAGTAGGGTAGGAGGGAAGGAGGGGAAGAGGGAGGAAAGGAAGGAAGGAGGGAGTGGGAGGCGTGAGGGAGGGGGATAAAGGGAGGTGGCGTGCATAATTGTCGTCACACACGCGTCGAGAACCTATTGAGGGGGCTTTTCCTCCCTCCCTCCCTCCCTCCCTACTTCCCTCCCCACCTTGTGCTCCTCCAACACGTCCAACACCCCTGAAATGGCCCCTGGCTCGTCCTGTGACGTGGCGGGGGAAAGAATGAGCGTTTAGACCTCTCTATCAAAGCGCATGGAGGGTACGATCGTTCCCTCTCTCTCGGAGGCCTTCCCCGGTAAAAAGGAAGCGATGGGCTGGTCGCCAGACAGAGGGGAGGGGGGAGATAGAGGAAAGATCCCGTGTCCGAGATTGCGCAGAGGCGACGGGCGCCCCCTGGCACGGCCGAATGCGGACATGGATCGAGGTAGTGGAAGCCAAAGGCAGGATCGAGGGGCAAGCCACGCGTATACACGACCCGACGGCCCGCTCGCCGGCCCGCCCTCCCTCCCGCCTTCCCTCCCGCTCTCCCGCCCTCCCTACCTTGTTCCTGAATTTGAGCACGGAGCCCTCGTGGAGGTTGAGCGCGGGGAAGTTCTTGTAGTGATCCAAGCTGACCAGGCAAGGCTCGTGGCCAAAGACCGAGCCCGTCACCGACGTGGCGCCCCCCCCCTCCACATGGGCCACCACGGTGATCAAGCTCCGGTAGGGGGAGGCCGCCGAGGCCAAGGCCGGGGCCTCCGTCAGCGCCTCTGTCTCCACCCCCAGCTCCTCCGCCAGAAAGGGGGCGTTGACGATACCCGGAAGTGTCCCGTGCGTGTCCTGCGTGGAGAGGAAGCCGACCAAGGCCTGAGCCTTCAAGAGGGCGCGGGCGTCGGGGCTGGTGATGGAGATGTCCGTCTGGCCCCAGGACGCCAAGGTGATCTTCCAGACCGTGCCCATGGCGAATTGAGTGGCCACGCGTCCGAGCTGCTGGGCCAAGTCCGCGTACGGGCGGATGGCGTGGTTCTGGGCGATGGACATGTAGCCGACGTTGCAGACGCCCACGAAGTCCTGGGGAGGGAGGAGGGAGGGAGGGAGGGAGGGAAGGATGGAGGGATGTGGTTGGAACGGTCCATGAGCAAAGCCCAGGGGGAGGGGGCGAGGGAGGAAACGGAGGGCCGAACGG